CTGACTTCAAGGGTTGGGTGTTTCCAGGGCCAGGGCGGGGCCTTTAGGGAAGAGCTAGTTTCCAAGGTTGTATCTGTTTCCCAGATACAGATGGTCCCTTACTTGCTGAATCCCACCATCTTCCTTCTTCCACTCATTCCCTTAGGTAAGAAGTGGGAGGGACAGAGATTCCCACCCACTAATGCTGCTGCTTCTTTCTCTTTTGAGACAGGATCTCGCTGGTATGAAAACTCACTATGTAGACCAGGCTGGCCTCAAACTCAGAGATGCCACCCCAGTGCTGAGATGAAAGGTGTGCACTACCATACCCAGTTCATTTAAAAAAAAATTTGAGACATGTTCTCATGTAGCTCAGGCTGGCCTCAAACTTACTACATAGCCAAGGCTAACTTTAAACTCCTTGATCTTCTTGCCTACACTTCCCATGTGTTGGGATTAAAAGTGGGTGCCACCACACCCAGCTCAGTGCACTCTTAAGATGTGACTTTACCATCGACCTTAATTAAGCCTTACTATCAATGGGCACAGTAATGCATGCCTGGAATCCCAGCACTCACAAAGCTGACACAGGATTGTGAGTTTGAGGACAGCCTGAGCTATATAGGGAAACCTTACCTCAAAAATCACAGTAACAGCTGGGCTTGGTGGTGCACGCCTTTAATCCCAGCACTCAGGAGGCAGAGGCTGGTGGATCTTTGTGAGTTCAAGGCCAGCCTGATCTACAAAGCGAGTTCCAGGCCAGCTGGGGCTACAGAGAGACACTGTCTCAAAAAGATTAAAAAAAAAAAATCATCACAGTAACAGAAACTATATCATTATACATGTCAGAAGCAGGACTCTGACTGCATTAGGCTCCTTGTGGAAGTTCAACTAAGCCGATGCCTGCCAGGACTCCTCAAGCATTGTGTACTTGATCATCAAGTGAGTCCTGAAATAAAACTCACACCTGCTAGGCCTTGGTGTCTTGTATGAGGCTGCCATCCTGTCATACAGTTCACACCTAAGCATGTATGTATAGATGTTTTTCTATTTTTTATTTTTTGGTCTTTTTGAGACAGGGTTTCCCTGTAGCCCCAGCTGCCTTGGAACTCTCTATGTAGACCAGGCTGGCCTCAAACTCAGTGATTCACCTGCCTCTGCCCCCCCACCCCTGCACCTCCAAGTGCTAAGATTAAAGGTTTGTGCCATCACATCTGACAGATCGATTTTTAAAAAATTATTTTTTATTTTATGTGTATGAGTGTATTGCTTGCATGTATGTAAGTGCACCTGTGTCATTCAATGCCTGTGGAGGTCAGAAGAGGGTGTCAGATCCCCTGGAATTAGAGTCATAGAAGGTTGTTGTCTTGTGGGTGCTGGAAACCGAACCCGGGACCTCTGCAAGAACAGTCAGTGCTCTTAACTGCTGAGCCATCACTCCAGCCCCACAGATAAGTTTTTATGAAGTGTTTTTTTCTTTCTTTCAGTGCTGGAGATGGAACCCATGGCCACACCTAACACTATGACAGCACTGAGCTACATTCAAACCCTGTAAACAGGAATGTTGACAATTGTCCTGGATGTCAGTCTGACAGGTCAATGTCAGGGACATGAACTGAATGGGGCTCTCTTCCCAGGGTTTTCTGTTCCTGCCACCAGAACAAGCCTTTTTCTCAAGGCTTTTCTGAGTGCTGTGGTCCTATTTCTCTACAAGTGAAGAATGGCAAACAATCCATGGGTCTCCCCAACTCCCAGGGTCATTCTGTGGGTCAGATGGATAGTAGTCCAAGTCAGGTTGAGACTGACTGATAGGTCCTGGTGGCTGTCGCTGCAGGGGTTGTTAGAACAGCCACCCCCACCCCTGAGCCTCATGATCTTCCCTGGCCAGAAAGGCAGGTCTGGCTCAGGAGCCTTGCAGAGAGGTAGAGATTCTATGCTGGGATAAGGGCTAACCCTGCCTGTATTTCCACAAGGGAAGCAGATGGTTTGGGGAAATCCAATTTAAAAGGAAAGAAATTGAATTAGCCTTCCAGGGTCTGATGGCTAAGACTTGAGAGGGGAACAATTACGTTAGCTGTGCAGGCCTCACCAAGCCAGCTTGAAGGCTGAGGGTGGGTGGGGCAGGGAACACCCTCAGGTCAGTTAGTCGTGGGTGGATTGAGGGAAAGGACAGAAAAGCTTCCTTGGTGGAAAAGAAGTCCTGAGACAGAGATGCTCCTTGGGTCAGGCACATGAGCCTGCCACTGCCACTGTCATCTGACATTTCTTGTTTCCCTGACCCCTTCTGGAACTTACAGAAAACAATGGCTGGCTTGGTGTTTGCACAGCCAGAACCATAGTCATCCTCAAATATTGGAATGGAGAAGGATCTAGGGCCAGATAGTGGTGGGACTGGAGGAGGCAAACTCAGCTAGTATTTCATATATTTAATATAACATACCCGACATACAATATGTCATCTTCATCATTTTGATGAGGGCTGATGCACTGGCCTTTAGCATCTTCACACACTCACCACACCCACTTAACCATCACCCCGTCCATTCCCAGGACTTCATTATCCCAAACAGAAGCTCTGGACCTATTAAACAGTAACTCCCCTGGTTAGCAAGATGACTCATCAGGCCAGTGTGCTTGCCACCTAGCCTGACAACTTGAGTTTGATCTCTGGAACCTGCATGGTGGAAGGAGAGAACTGACTTCTGTAAGTTGTCCTCTGACCTCCATATATGTACTGTGGCATGCGCCCACCTCGCTCCAATAAATAAATATAATTAAAAACCCCAGTAACTCCGTATTGCCCCCTCCTGGCCTGAGTTTCCTCAACCTTTCTGCCTCTGACTGTTTATTCCAGGTATTTCAGATAATTATAGAATAATTGCCCTTTTGTGTGTCTGGATTTTTTACTGTAATGTCTTCAAGGTTCGTATGTATCACAATTGCGTTTCTTCTTTTTTTATTTTTGTGAGACAGGGTTTCATGTATCCCAGGCTGACCTCAAACTCACTATATAGCTGAGGATGACCCTGAATTTCTGACTCTCCTCTCTCTACCTCCCAAGTGCTGAGATTACAGGTATGTGTCACTATACCTGGGGATTTTTTTGTTTTCAGATAGTCTCCCTGTAGCCCCAGCTGGAACTCACTACATAGACCACGTTGGCCTTGACCTCACACAGATCCACCTACTTCTGCCTCCCAAGTGCTGGGATTAAAGCTATGCACCACCACACCCAGCCATAGGGTTTTATTCGCTGAGGATTGAATCCAGGGCCTCATGCACACTAGGCGAACACTATCAACTGAGTTACATCCGCAGCCCTACATTTTGCCAATATTTCTATGTTTCTGTTACTGTACTTGGTTCACTCACTGTGCTGTTCCTTATCTCTCTGCACTGCCCATTGAACCAGACTGTAGATGGTCAGAAACAGGCCACTGCACACTGTGGGGCTCTGTGATCTATCTGGCTAAGCTGAATGATGACACTGCCCAGAATTTCTTTCTAGTATTTCCAATTTGGAGGTAAACAGAACAGCAGGCACCTTGAGGCTCCACCCATTGTTAAAAAAAAAATTTAATTTTTTTTTTTTTTTTTTTTTTGTCTTTTTGAGACAGGGTCTCCCTGTAGCCCCAGCTGTCCTGGAACTCACTATGTACGCCAGGCTGGCCTCGAACTCACAAAGATCCGCCCACCTCTGCCTCCCAAGTGCTGGGATTAAAGGCATGTGCCACCACACCCGGTCTAAAAACAATTTTTATGTGTATGTTTTGCCTGCATGTATATAAGTACATCTGGTTGTGCAATGCTCACCAAGGTTGGGCATTGGTGTTAGATGCAGAAGAGAGACCAGGGTGTTGGATCCTGTGGAACTGGAGGTATAAATGATTGTTAGCTGCCCTGTGGGTGATGGGAATCATACCCAGGTCCTCTGCAAGAGCAGCCAGTGCTCTGAACTGCTGCGGCATCTCTCCACCCCCATCCACTACTGCTTTTTCCTGATGGCTCACATCAGCTCCTGTATTGCCCAGGCCAGTGAGTGCTCAGCTCCGAGGCCGAGGGCCTGGCTCCTGCATGGCTCTCACCATCAAGGCCACAGACAAGAACTGGCTGTCTGTGACTGAGGATGTTAGCTGGTGCTTGTGGTTCCAGCCTGTTGTTTCCCCTTTACATCTACCTCTCCATAAACATAACGCCGCCTACTCCACCAGCTCCAGGGATTGTGTAAAGACAGATTCCTGTGACAAATTCCTTCAAGTATTTATCTTTGAGTGGTTCTGTTCCTTCCATTAAGCTCTAATGGATACACTTATTCATTCATTCAACCGACAGATCTTCATGGATAAGAACACTGAGGCAGTCAGCGGTTAAGAACACTGACTGTTCTTGCAGAACTCTAGTTCCAGGGGATCCAACAGTCTCTTCCGTTCTCCGCAGGCATTGCATGACATGGGTGCACTTACCTACATGCAGGCAATACGCGCATACACATAAAAAAAATAAAAATAATAAATAAAATATTAAAAAAAAAAAAGAACGTTGAGTACAGGCTATGCACCAGACTCCAGGGTCCTGGTGATAGAAGCCCAGCAGTGAACAACACCAAGAATCATTGCTGAAGACTGGTGTCCCCAAGACACCACACCCAGCACACACTGCTGAGTGAGTTGGGGACTCATTCCAGTGCTCTCATATTAAATTGTGTGACCTTAGATCAACATCCCTCCACCTCTCATGCCTCCAATTTCCTTACAGGCAAGCAAGGAGACCCACCTTTAAGCTACTCAATTTAATGCAGTTAGAATAAACAGCAGTTGAAAGAGCTGGATATGGCGGTGCATGTCTGTAATCTCAGAATTTGGGAGGCAAAGGAAAGAGGATTGCCTGGAACACCAGGATACCCTAAGCTACACAGTGAATTCCAGGCCAGATTCTGATGCTGTCTCAAAAAAAAAAAAAGCAAAAAAAAAATAGAAGCTAAAAGCAAACTTAAAGAAGCAGACACCCAATCCAGACCTAGATATTGTTATAATCTTTTATTATGTATCAAATTGTCTTCAATATAACTTACAACCTGATTAAATCTGATAGACATTTTTTCTTTTTTATCTATTTAAAGGCAAAAAAATTCTCTTTATGTACAATATCTTTTGTCTAGAGTCTGGTAAATATAGTACCTTTCATTGCAGGATAACTGCTCAACATAACAAGCAAAAATAAACCACCAAAAAAATATCAAAGCAAACCCCCAGATCTCTCAACTACAAATGTCAATATCGAATAAAGCATTAAAAAGACAATACAGGATAACTCTTGCTTAGAAATGGATAATGGATACTAAAATTAGTGGCAAAAAAAACAAAACCAAACAAACAGCCCAACAGTCTTCAGGGGGCAATGTTCCTGCTCGGGGTGTAGGCTGACTCTAGACCATCTCGCGGTTCCTGCGGATAGCACAGCACAGGATGATGCTAAAGATCATGCCGAAAACCTGCAAGACAAGAGTAGAGGGGTCTGTTTGGGGGAATGGGGAAGACGCATGGCTCAGTTCAAGACATCCAATAACCATGGCAATGCTGTCCATGAGGCCACATTAGTTAAAAGGTATTGAAGCAGGAGAGATAGTCATTTAACAGGAAGGATGGCTAGACTCATTCTGACAGTGTTAGCCAGCTGTTAACATATGCTGTGTGGGTATTATCCCTAGATAACATTCCAGGTGAGGGCCTAATAATGTGGCTTTAAACGTTAAATTTAAGGTTCAGATTCTAGGTATTCAACAGAACATTCTGATGAGGACCCCCTGCCCCCCATTTCTTTAGCACTGCTGGGAATGGAACCTGGACTTTACATATGCTAAACAAGTACCCTGGCACTGAGCCACCCCCCCTCCCCCCCAGTTGATGACCCACCCTCCAGCTATGCTAACAGTGCCTGGGCAGAGCATACGTTGTTCCCTCCAGTGAAGGTCACCCCTCCTTGACTACCCTTCCACTCACCATCACCACAGCGATGCCGATGCCCACAGCGCCAATGATGTGGAACTTGCTATTGAAGACCTCATTGATGGCCTCGGGGCAGGACTTATGGAAGCAAACAAGACCTGGGTCACACACACAGTCCCCACTGGCAGGGGGATGGGTAACTCTTCCCCACTGTGACTCCCGTCTCATGCTGGAAGGCTTGGTGGCCAGGGAACCAGCTGGGATAGGTGCATTGGGGTGTGAGGGCCACACCAGTAGTTAGATAGCTGGGCCAATTTCTTTTCTTTTATCCTTTTTGGGCAATGCTGGGGCTGGAGTCCAAGAGTCTCACACACTAGGCAAGTACTCTGCCACTGGGCTGTACCCTCTGTCCTCTGGGGTGTATTCCCATGTAGCCATAGGGCTACTTTTGTTACTTTGAGTCTGGCCTAATATTAAGTCAAGTTGATCAAGCAGGAGCTTGTCCTTGAAGAACTGGAGACTCAGGCAGCAGAGGGTAGTCTGAGGTACCAATGGCCTTGGGGAGCTAAGGGACTCTATTATGTCTCCCATCTGGTCTTTGGTTTGTTGCCCTTGAGAAAAGGGGACCTAGGGCAAGGGAGAAATGAGAGGGTCACTCTGAGGCCCTTCTGAGTAGAAGGGGGTCTTTATAAATGCCTGTCCTCTAGGAAGAATAGTGCCACATCCACTTCTACCCCTATGGGATTTGCATGAGCAATGGGGACAGGGTTACCAGAGGCTTGTTCTCAAGTTTACCTTAACCTGGAAGCTTTCAACAAAGTCCTTTTTGGGACAGATGTCAGAGATAAACTGCTCCACACCCCCAGCCAAGCCACAGCAGTTCAACTGTGGAGAGAAGGTGAGGATGGGGATGAGAGGGGGGAAAAGAAAGAGATAATTAAAATAAGAGGCATGCCAGCCTGGTACAGACCCTCTCCGGGGGTGCGTTCGAGGGAGGGTCAGTGGGAGTCACTCAAGAGGCCACCTACCGCATAATGGATGGCTTTGAGTGTTTCCTGTTGGGGTTCATCTTTGTTCTTCAGCTTGTTGTAGGTGTCCTTGTAAAATTCCTGGACTTCCTTAATCACCTACAAGGGGCAGATAAGTAGCAGAAACAGGCTTTTCACAAACTTCTTCATAGATACCTGTTTAATTCCTCAGTTAAGACTAATCTCTCTCAGAGCTGAGATGGCACCGCCCACCTCCTTCCCCGTCCTGTTCCTTTACACTTCTGGTATGTTCCCTTTGGCTCCACTTGGATTGTTTTCTTCTATCTGTTAACTATGTGGAATCTCCCACAGTTAAAAGAAAAAAAAAATGAAAAAAGAATTTTGCTTTGATTTGGCTATTTCCTTGGGACTCCACCTTTTTTTCCCTTTCATGTAGGTTTGACTTTTGGCAAATTACTAAACCTTTTCTATGCACCTGTTTCTGCACATGGAATATAATAATAATAATAGTTCGTTATGAGGAGTCAGATGAGATATTGCATGTTAAGCATTTAGCATGTAGCTGGTAGAGTAAATCTAGGCGTGTTTCACCTGGAGCATAAGACTATATACATGCATAATACATAATACTACAAGTAATATATGGTCCCCCCTCTTGTACCTGGGTGTATCCCAGTGCAATGCATGTGTGTACCCTTGACCCTCGCCCACGGCCAGTTAACACATCAACTTTTAGCATTCTTCCTTCAGGTTCCTATTTGTTTATTTTTGTGAGATAGGGTTTCACTTGGAATCCTAAGCTGGTTTGGATCTCACCGTGTGGCCCAGCTTGACCTGGAACTTGTGGCAATCTTCCTACTCTGGCATCCCAAGTGCTGGGATTACAGGTGTGGGCCACCATACTTGACTCCAGCATCTTTCATAATTACCCTCTCTGCTTCCTCCTCCCTTCTCTCTCTCAACAGAGTCTCGACACATACCTGAAGCTGCTGGTCTTGAACCTGTGATCCTCCTGCGTCAGTCTCCAAAATATTGAGATTATAGGAATTTGCCATCTTGCCTGGCTAAATTTTCTGGGGGTGGTGGTGGTACGAAGGATGGTCTCATATATACTAGGCAAGTGCTCTAACATATCCCCAGCCCCTACCTCTTCTTATAACCTTAGATTGGTTGGATAGTTTATTTAAAAAACAAAAGTTCTCCCTCCAGTGTCTCTCTTTCTTTCCCCTCCCTGCTGAATATGACAATGTTGGCCAAAAACTCCTTAGAGCTCCACAGCTGTCAAGCTCACTCATACTTGGCAGTCCCTGGCCTCTACCCACTTTCCTCCTGAAACCTGTTTCTTATTCAAAGCGTAGGTTCATGTTTCCTTCTCTGCAAGTCAAGAGTCTCCTTTCCCACTTCACCTTTTCAAGTCTCCTGGTATCTGGTTATAAATCACTTGCATGATAGTTGTCATCCCACCCCCCACTAGATGGAGAAGTTTCTGAAAGTGAGGATCACAGCTCAGGTACCTGGGGACCCTGTATAGCAGCTGGTGCAGCACTTAGCTCATGGTGGTACTTGAACACATATTTACAGAGTAGAGCAAGGGTATCCAGATTACAGAAAGCCACACTATTCTGAGTAATTTATAGGAATTGGGGGGAAGGGTTGCTGAACTGTGACAAACAGAAACATACAAATGGCTCCCTCAATGAACAGTTCTTGAATATTTACTATGTTTCAGTCACATAGAGCAGGCTAAGCCCACATGTCCAGCCCCGAGGAGCACATGTCCTGACCCAACATGGAAAGATGCTAAGTAAGGAGGTGTGCTCAATAGAAAGTCAACCAAGGTGATCAGCTTGGCCGCCTTCAATTTTCATCAACCTTCTTCCCAGTTCACAAACCTAAATCACTGCAAGAGATTTTATGGGAAAAACCTACCTCATCCTTGTGGGAATAGCCCCAGATGGCCGCAGCTATCTCGATGGCAAATATCACCAAGAGAAAACCAAAGAACTAGAAGGCAAAGGGAATCCAGTGAGAGCCACTCCCACCAACCAGCCAGCAACACCAAAGGGGATTTGGCATAGGGAAGAACAACATGTCTGGGAGCAACATGTGGGGGCACACGTGAATAGTCTAGAAAGGGCAGGGAAGGGTTTACAGAAGGACTGAGAGCCCCAAGTTATAAAAAGTGCCCAACCCCAGGAAAACGTGAGCACTGCTCCACCAAACTGGTAGTTGCAGGGTGTTAGTTAGGAGTTAGGGAGCAATAAAATACCACCGCTGACACACAAAACCCACTGAAAACTGGGGAGACAAAGGCAATGAATTCACTCTGTGGAGTTTGGGGAACAAGGAGAGAAGGCAAAAGTACCTGTGGATTCAAGGAAAAAAGGCAAACGTGGTCCTCGAGAAAGGGGAAAACAAAGTTCTGGCATTTATCTGCCTAGGGGAAGTGATAAGATGGGCTCCAGAAAGGCAGGGGCACAGTGCATGCCACAGGGGAAAGCCCAGGGGCCATGGACAAATGGCAGCCAGCCAGGCCGGTGGGGCAAGGCCCAGAGTAAGGAACGCTGGGGAGGCTGGGGAGAGCCCATGGCTGGGTGCCTCCTTACTCTACCCATTCCACCCGTGCTGTGTATGCATCAGACCTGGTGACACTTTGGGAAGACAGAGGGACCAGGAAAAGATTGGCTGGTTATGGGAAACACAGACGAGATACTCACCAATCCCAGCATGCACTGGGACTCTTGCACAGCCCCACAGCAGCCCAAGAAACCCACCAGCATCATAAGGGCCCCAGCTCCAATCAGAATGTACACTCCTGAGGGGAAGGGGAAGGAAAAGGATAGAAGTTTGGAGACATCAGTATGGAGATCTAGCTGTCTCTGGCAATTTCTTACTTCTCATGTGTCTCCTGGTTTAAAGCCTCCACTCTAGGGAATGAGTCCCCTGCCCCCCTTTTTTGCTTTTTTTTTTTTTCTTCTTTGAGACGGGGTTGCACTATGAAGTCCTGTCTGGCCCTCAACTCATAGAGATCTGCCTGCTGTCCCTTTACTTAATTAAACAGCCTTCTCCACTTCTATTCCTGATTCCTCCTACTGGTCTGTCTTCTAGAACCTCAGTCTACACGTCTGCTCTCTGCCTTACCCCTGGCTTTTCCAGAAGGGGCCTTAGGACATGACTATCTACAGGAACTCCTAGATTCTACTCAGGGTACAACCTAGTTCGGTCTGTTAGTGTTCCCAGCAGAACAATCCACTTGAACATGCCTTCCAAACTAAATTTCTGGGACTTGGAGGAAATTGATCCTCCTTAGGATCTCTTCTCTGCCTGCTGCAGACAGCTGTACGGCACCTATAGTTAGTAACACCCAAGGGCCCATGCTGGCAAGTGTACGTCCCTTGCTCTAGTGCAAAGGCCACATAAGTGGATATCAAAAGACCCGTTTTAGTCCCCAGACTGCTACTAACCACTGTGTGACATATTTCTGGAGCTGGAAGGGATGGCTCAGTGATTAAGAGTGTGTGTGGCTCAATCCTGAGGACCAGGGTTCATTCAGATCCAGCTCACAAATGCCTGCAATTCCAGCTCCAAGGGGTCTGATGCTCCCTTCTAGCCTCCATGGGCACCCATGCCCACATGTATAAATATACTCCACATAGACACATTCATGTAAATAAATCTTAAATTCCAAAAAAGCCCTTTAGCCACTGAAGAGATATTGTGGTTTTAATGAAGTTATTCCAGGTTAAGGGTGAAAAGGCTCCGTCATGCTAAGGGGAGGATGAGTGACACCATTCCTAAGTCTTCAGTTTGAGTGGCTGATGTGGAAGTAGGTGGGAGAGGGCAGAGGCTTCTGCAACTCTTGCCTATACCTCAAACAATGCAAATTCCTGGAACGGGAAACGCAGTGGAGTAGCCCTGGCCACATCCATTCCATGCCCACAGGGTCCATTCTTGAGGAGCTACAGCTACAGAACAGGGGCTCACCCCTGTGCAGCCCTTCTACCATAAGAACCACAGGAAAACCAAGAGAGGGTACAGTGCCTCCCACCTTGCTGCCATGGGGAGAGGGCTAAAGTCACACATCAAGAGCCAACACTAAGGCTGGAGAGACGGCTCAAAAGGTTAACACCACCAGCTGCTCTTGCAGAGGACCATGGTTAGGTTCCCAGCACCTACGTGGTGGCTGGTGATTGTTTTTGGTAATTCCAGCTCCAGGTGATCTGATACCCTCCCGGTGATCTGATACCCTCTTCTGGCCCCTTTGGGCATTGCAAGTACATGGTGCACTTACATACATGCAGGCAAAACATGCATACACATTAAAAAAAAAATCTGGGGCTGGAGAGACGGCTCAGCAGTTAAGAACACTGACTGTTCTTGCAGAAGACCCGGGTTCGAATGCCAGCACCCACATGGCAGCTAACAACTGTCTGTAACTCCAATTCCGGGGGATCCGACAGCGTCTTCTGTCCTCCTTGGGCATTGCACGACATGGGTGCACTTACCTACATGCAGGCATAACATTCATACACATAAAATAAAAATAATAAATAAAATATTAAAAAAAAAAATCCGAGAGCCAACCATAATGCCTAGAATGCCTGGCTTTGAAGGCCAGCTCCATAATCCCACGGAGGGGTTGTTTTTTTAATTTTGGGGTTTATATTTATTATTTATTTAGAGAGGGTCTTACTATGTAGCTCTGGCTGACCTGAAACTTGCTATAGAGCCCAGGCTGGCCTCAAACTCAGAGAGCCTTACCTGCCTTTGTCTCCTGATTATAGGAACCAAAGACATGCACCATTATGCCTAGCCTCTCCAAGTTTTTAGCTGAAAAAAAAAAAAAAGGCTTGATTGCTGTGTGCCCTTAATCCCAGCACTAGGGAGGCAGAGGCAGCTGGATCTCAAGGAGATTGAGGCCAGTCTTCTCTACATAATGAGTTCCAGGCAAGGTGGAGCTACAGGGAGACCCTGTCTCAAGAAACCCAACAAAATAAAGGAAAAAATGGCATGATTGAGGCTCAGAAAATGGCTCAGTAGGAGCACTTGCTGTGCAAACATGAGGATGGGAATTTAAAGAGTCTGGTGGATCTAGGGGGCTGGCTGGCTGCTTGGCTGGCCTAGCAGAAGAGGTGAGCTTCAGGTTCAGAGACCCTGTCTCAAGGCAACAATCTGGAAAGTGATAAAGAAAGACAGCCGACATCCTTCTACGGCATCCACATGTGCATACATGCTTATACCACACTCAACACACACAGACACCCATACTGAAAAAAAAAAAAAGGGACAATTGGGGCTGGGGGCATGTGGTTAGCATGTGTGAGGCACTGGGTTCAATTGCTAGTACCCCCAAAAGGGAGCGGTAATACTGCTGCCTCCAGGGACTGCTGTGAGGGTTCAATGATATAATTCACAGATACACAGTGAACACCAGCTGCTATTAATCTCAGTCGTACAAGGGCTGGGTAACTCCTGTTAAAAACCATGCAGTGATGTTTTATATACTCTCTTCCTACTCTCTTTCCATGGGGCTTGAAAACACAAGGGGGAGATGCGATGCTTCCCCATAAGACATAGCATGCTATGTGATGAGAACTCTTGGCAGATGTCACAGTGATTTCACTGTCCCCCATCTGCAGTGCCCAGCGCAGGGCTGGACTTTGCAGGCCAGAGACTGCGACTGGCCTGCAGCTGAGGCTCGTGGGCAGCACAGAGCAGAACGCACACAGGGAGCATTTGTGCCTCTTGCCTCCCCCCATCTGCTGTGACATGAAGTCACGTGGGATTCCTGGCAAACCCCTTAGTGCATGAATATGGGTATTGTTTCTGTGCATGCCTGGCCCAGACTAGGCAAAGGACAAATGTAGCTTGTCCTCAAGTCATCTTCCTAGCCAGTCAAATGGAGTGGGGCTGCAGGCTGGACTGGGGAGGTGGTGCAGTCCTATGCATGGCCCCTGGGGACAAGGGCCAGCTGTGCTCTGTTCTTAGCTCCGCCAAGGGAACACCAACGAGGGAGGCAACGTAACAGTACAGCTCTGGTTCCTGTCTGTCATATCAGGGCAAGATAGCAAGGGATGAGGTCACTCCTTTGAGCTGCACACAGGGGCTGAATAAATGAGGGGTATTAAGAGATCAAAACTATTTATGAGCACATGAAATACAGTCAAGTGGGTACAGACAGACAGATGTGGTTTTTCTGAGTTCACACCCCAATATGGGAGCTGGGATACCTTGGCAGAGCCAGGGCAGCTAGGGCAGCACTGAGAGACTACCAAAAGAATAAACATTTCCCATGCAGAGAAGGAACATTCCCCTAACAGGCCTCCTGGTTCTTATGACAGATGTACTCTAGGAAGACTTGAAAGTAAAGGGTCTTGTTGGCTTTAAATCTTGTCCAGGCTGCTGTGGCTCTACAGTGCCTCTGGTTAGCCCCCTCTAGTCAGGAGAAAGACAGCAACCATCAAGCAGCCATCAAGTCATAGTGAGGCCCATCAGGAAGCAGGTCCCCCATGCCTAGGAAGTCAGGGATCCAATGTGGAGCTTGGATTGTACCTACTCCCCCTCTTTTGTTTTTTGTAGTGCTGGAGATCAAACCCAGGGCTTCCTGCAGCCAAGGCAAGTGCTTGCTCTACCACTGAGGCTCTGCTCCCCAGTCCTTGACTTGCTTTTCAAAAAGGACTGGCCAGTGCTTCCTTTCAGGAAAGCTGCTTACAGCCCTGTACCCCATGCTTGCTAGCAAAGGCTGGCAGTGATAAATGACAGTGTTCCCTTTTATAAAACAAGTGAATGTTAGCTTTCTGTCTGACTCATGGAAAAAGTTATTTGTCACAAGGCCTTCTCCAGGATTACCATGTTAAATTGCTTAAGGGCTGTTTATTGTATCTTTTTTTTTTTCCTGGCTGACATTATAGATCTAGTTAAAGGAAAGAAAGAAAGAAAGAAAAGAAAGAAAGAAAGAAAGAAAGAAAGAAAGAAAGAAAGAAAGAAAGAAAGAAAGAAAGAAAAGACTGGTATGGCTGTAGCAGGTCAGGATGTCCTTTGCCCAAGAAACAGGGCATTGTGTCCCACCTGTGTCAGGGCTCTGAGCTCAGGCTCATCAAGGCCCAACTCATAAACACCAGTCTTCATCCATGATCATCAAAGCCTCATTGTCACTTGTTTAAAGGTTTATTATCTCCAAATATCTGAACCCAACTCTGCCCACCCCACCCCCAACTCAATGGCTTTCTTGCTTTTCCTTCCCTCAAAGACCTTCTCACTCATAAAAAACTGTGGAATCCCATGTGCTGAGCACAGAAACTCTCAAAGAGGTGTGGGTGTGAAAGCCATGTGGTGGGAAACGAGGAAGTTAAGCAACCAAATGGGACTACCACAGGTCACAGGCCGGATCTGGGAGGCCAGCTTACTGAGGGCAACATCATCCACATGGGGGAAGGTCTGGGGTTGGGGGTTGTAGATGACACATGACTCACAGCCTCTGGCCAGTCCTCCTAGATCCCTTCACTCAATGGCCATGGTTCTGGAAGGACACCAGGTTAAGAAAAGTTGTTGGCCTGGGATCAGGAAAACGAGGCTCCCCAACATGTTTGCAGCCTGGGATCATGACTCCCTGCTGAATGGCTAAATCTCCCAGGGCCTGAATTGGAGAGAAGGCCCATATAAGGCCATCAGCTGTTCTGGATACACTCAGAGCTGTTCTAAACATCGATAAATTTTTCTCTTGTTTCTCTCCCTGGCCACACACTCTTTCTGGGACGTGCAAGCTGTGGTCTCACCCAAGGAAACCTTTACAGGTTTCCTGAAGAGTTAACTGCATGCTCAGACTGGCCTGTGGTGGCCCTGTGCAAGGGACAGTCAGTCACTCCATGATGTCAGGACAGCAGCCTGGGTATGGGCACTCCCAGCTCATCTGCTGGGAGAACAGTGGATTATACAAAAGGTTGGTCTCATAGTCCAATGGGAAACGGGACACAGAGCACAAAGCCCCTTGGCTCTTTGCCTAGGGACAACAATTATTCAGTTTCCCAGAGTGTTAATGGATGTGCAGGCAGGGTGCAGACCTACATACAGCTCGGCTCACTGATATTCTAGCATCTCTGTACTACTCCCTGGTCCCTGGAAGCAGGAAAAAAATCTTCAAAGCTCAGTCCTTGCTTGGCCTAGTCGCACAGGCCTGTAATCCCCGCTACTTAGGAGGCTGAGGCAGGAGATTACAAGTTCAAGGCCTGCCTGTGTGAATTCAAGGCCAACGTGAACAATTTTGAGACCATGTCTCAATATTTACAATAAAAGGGAAAAGAGGGCCGAGGCACACAGCTCAGTGGTAGAGTGGTACCCAGGATGCTCCAAGCCCTGGGTTCAATTCTGAGTAATACCCTCCCCACCCCAAACCAAAACGTTCCTCCAAATTCTGTGCCTTCTTTTTCCTGGAAAAGTGTCCAGTGGCTAGTAGTTCTCAGTGAGTGATTACTGTCCTCTGGGACTGCACCTTCAAATCACTCTCTGGTCACTTCGGGGAGGACCACTGGTCACTAGCCCTGTTTCCTCTGTAATTATGACTCTCCTGTCTTTATGTGTGCTTTTCCTACCTGTCACCAGCTGGCTAGGGCTGTGGCTGCATGAGCTTCTTTTTAGCCTCAATTTGTGTACTGTCAAAATGCCAAGAGAGCCCTACCTTGCCCCTGGCAAATGGAAGCTATGGTCTCTTCCTACGAGGGGAGTTCCCCTCACAACCTAGCACAGATAATTCCAGAAGCAGCTGGGGGGTTCAATCTTAGCCCTCCCTCTTGAGAGACAGGAGCTTGGGCAGGTGTCTGGCTTCTCTAGGGTGTGAGATGGGAATTACTGCCTGTTCCTGGCAGAGTTACGGGATGAAGCTTTTTGACCATATAACACTCAACTTAAGTCAGTGAAGAACACCAGGAAGGGCTCAGAGGAGAGCGGTTGGTTTCCTCCCAGGTCATCACTTAACCAATGAAAGCCTTTCCTCCTGCATCTAAAAATACACAGAATCAGCCCGAGTTCTGAATAACAAAAAGAACAACTGGGTAATTAGGAGCAGCCAGAGCCAAGAGGAGGCCTGTGAACTACGGATTCTTTAGGAAGACACAGGGAGGCCATGGGACCCTTGCTTAGGAAATTAGCCTGAAAGGTGGCCATTCAGGCACGTGGATCTGCTCTTCCCAGGGAGTGAGTTCATGGCTCCTCTGTGTGTGTGTAGCATGGAATGTAAATGGGGTCTCCTCAGCACCCAGCTTCCTGCTGCTCTGGGCAAAAAGTCTCACCCTCCACACCCGACTCTCTCCTGCTCTATATAGTAGCATTCCAAGCTTGCTACAGACTCACAGCCTGTTGCTAAAACAAGTCAGGGCACTATGGAAACCCGCTCCCTAAAACTCCTGCTTGTAGTTAAAAAAAACAAAACAAATCAAAAAACAGCCAAACCAAAAACCATTGTGCTTTTCTTTCCTTGACTTCTCTCAGACAATAGGGAAACACACCCAGCTCCCACTCCCCAATGAACAACAATAAAAAGCAGGAAATTTAGAAGATTTACCCAGAGAGCTCAGGTGCTTTTAAAGCTTCCTGGCCTACCTAGCCAAGTTTGGCCCCAGGGAGGAGGGAAAGGGGGAGGCTGACTGGAGCCACTGCCCCTTGTCCCTGTGGCCTGGGAGATATAACCCTGTCAGACTGCTTTCTTGTCAAACTTTAAAAATAACTTTGGTGGGTGGGAAGGAAGTGACAACTCACGGTTTGAGTCTGATGACATGACAGCATCCCCCTAAAATAGGGGGCTTCTTTTATTTCTCATAAATGAGATGAGTTCTATTCCCAAACCAGGCCGAGTAGAAACCAGAGGCAGGACCAGCAGTGGAAGGGGCAAAGAGGGCTAGGCAGGATCAAGGACCTGACACAAAGAGACCCGCTAAACAGATTCAAGCCGAGGTGATCCTGGGCACATTAAAAGCAGAAACCTTGGGGCTGGAGCGATGGCTCGGTGGTCCAGGGCACTGGTTTCTCTTGCAAAGGACCAGGTTTCGGATCCTAGAACTTACATGGTGGTTACAACCATCTAAACCTCCAGTTCCAGAGGATCTGATGTCTTCTTCTGACCTCCAGAGGCACTGTATGCACATGGTACACTTACATTCATGCATGTAAAACACTCATACATACATAAAAAAAAAAAAAAGTAGGAACCCCCCCCCAAACAAAAGCAATTTTCCAAAGGCTGATGGTCTCTTCTAGTCCCTGATTGACTGGCTTTTTCTGCCCCCCCCATTCTATCTTCTTCCCTCATTCTCTGTTTTCTTTCTGTCACTTGGCTCTCTTCCTTCCCTTCTCTCCTTTTACTTCCCTGCCTCACAGGACCTCATGCTTATGAGGCCACCAGAGGCATCTACCTCTCCCCATTAATATTTAAAAAAATATTTTATTTATTATTTTTATTTTATGTATATTGAGCATTGCCTGGATGTGTCCAAGTACACCCATGTCGTGCAATGCCCGTAGAGGCCAGAAGAGGGCGTCAGATTCCCTGGAACTGGAGTTACAAATGGTTGTTAGCTGCCATATGCGTGCTAGGAATCCAGCCCAGGTCCTCTGCAAGAGCAGCCAGTGCTCTCAACTACTGAGCCCTTGCCAGCTCTCCCTCCCTGTTAATTTTAATTTAATATATCCAGGAAGTTGCTCTTCCTCTGGGTCTGAGTCCTTTATCCTCTTCCTGGCTCTGCAGATATCATCCAGGACAAAGGGTTATGACTTATGAAAATGATGAGGCCTAGGAAGACACATAATTAGGAGAGAACATGGGGCAGGTGAGCTGAGGCCCCTAAACCCTCAAGAGTAGGGAGCAGCCTTGCCAGACCCAACTTCACATCAGAGAACAGTCAGGATGCCAGACTCAGCTGGGAAGCAAAGAAACCACATCAGTCAGACACAAACCCACAGGCACAGCTACAGGTACACACACAAAAGAGACCTGACTTGAAAGGACAGGGCTGGCTCACATAGCCAGCCAGCCTCTCCCAAGCCCAAGTTCCCAAGTTAGCATGGCGTCTCCAGAGCTGGAGGAAGCACCTGCCTCACCCCCACCTGTGTAGAAGCTGGAATGATTAGTTTCTTGCTCGAAGATACTCTTGGTCTGGGAGTCGAATCGGAGCCATAGTCCAGTGGCGAGGACAGCAATGCCCGCAAGCTGCAGGATAGACAAGACATTGGCATTAGTCCTGGCGTCCTGGCTGCAGGGGATAACACAGTTGCCAAATGTTGAAGAGACTCCCAAAGGACTTTGGTACTACCCTTCCTCTCTGCCCTTCAAGTGCTTTTGGAAGTGGCAGAAACCAGGAGTGTGTGTGATCAAACCATATGCCAAAAATATTGGTGAACTGGGAATCAATAATTCTCTAGAAGTGGGTGGGGATGTATATATATAT